AAAAAAGGCTCCGGCGGATCGAGCACGCGCGGCCGCGGGGGCTCGCCTGGTGCTGGATCCGCCAGTGACTAGTAGTAAGCACGTGCGTTGCAAGTTTTATGTGCGGAATAAATGATATATTTAATATTTTTAAAGTAAGACAATTGATAATGTTAAAAGAAAAAATTAAATTGTTAAAAAATATACATATAAATAAAAGTTTTATGAAAATTACATACATAAAGTGAAAATGTTGAATAAATTGAAATGTAATGATTTGTTTATGCTAGACTTTGGTTTGATCCCTATTTTCAACTATTGCGATGACATTGAATAATTTTGTGGTATAGATAGACACGAAGAAAAATCAAATTAAAAGATATGCATTTGATTAAGTTTAAAATGTTTACATATAAGTAAACTAAGTATATGTAAATAATTTTCAAATTAAAAAATTACTCATTTTGTCTGTACCATAAACTTTTTTATCTAAAAAATAAAAACCAAAAATTATCTTATCTAAACACATTTGGAAATAAAAAATTACATATTAATCATGCTTATCATATTAATCCATAGCATTTATTTTAAATTAGAAACCAAAGTTCCATTCAAAATATATGTGGAAGTGAAAAATTTTAAACGAAAGTTTTCCTTTTCTTTTGAATGGGATTAATACAAATGGAGGAATAAAAATTCTTCATTTAAATGTATCGAGATAAAAAAATTCTTTTGTTTATATATTTATATCTAATAAATAATAGGATTACCATCATTTTTATATTTATACAAAACTGAACGCTCAATAATAAATACCTAATACTATATTAATTATTTTCTAGAACAGATAATATTAATTTTTTATTAATATTTGAAAAATTGGATTTAGTGAAAATGTGTAATCGAGATGCAAAGCTTGTATTTAATGTGTGGATACAAATATGAAAAGTGTAAGTAACTACTAATTATTAGGAGTAATTAGTAAGATTTTTAAGATTGATGGATAATTTCTCCCATCATAGATTCTTTCCCTCCTAATTGTTGATCACATTTAAGCAAATTTTTCTTTTCGATTTATTGTCCTTTGTATTTAAATAGTTATATTATCAACTATTAATTAATTAAACGTGAAATTTATAATTTTTGAATGAAAATATTGACAATGTTATATAAGAACAAAATAGTAAATTGAACATTTCTCATCTATCTCCACATTTTTTTTATATATTGTAATTATAAAATAATTGTATAAGTAGACGGATGTTGATTTTAAGTGAAAAATAACATTATAATATATTATAATAACATTTTATATATTGTGTACGTATAAAATAACATTATAATTTATTAAAGGTGGCACTAATGATAGATTAATTAAAATTTAATTTCGTGTAGTCTCCTTTTAAATATAGAGTTCACTTTTTAGGTTAGAGTACTCATAATCTTAGATTAACTAAATTAAGTTTAATAACTTAAAATCAAAGCTCGTCTACGTAAATAATCATATTAAAATATAATAAATATTATTTTATATGATAATTGATCTACCGTTATATTAATGCAACCTTTAATATATTTTATTATATAATTATAATAAAATTACATCTATACGCGAGCTTAAATTTTAAGTGATAACCTTAATTTAAATAATGTAATTTAAGTAATTAAACTTAATTTGATTAATGTAAACTTTTAAGTACTCCGATATATAACAATAAGTATTACAGTTTAATGAATATTAAATGAAGTTAAATTATATTAAATGATACTCTATTAAATATATAAGGGTATAATTGACATATAGCTAAAAGTATAAGAAATTTTTAGTAAGAACTTTAATTCAATTTATTCAACATGATATTGAAAATGGGTGTTGTTTAAGGAACTCAAATAATAGTCCTAAATTCTCATTTGATATTAAAATATTTTAATTTGATTAATAGGATTAATTCCAAATGAAATTGAGAAATGGATGTTTAAGGAGCTCAATTGATGGCATTAAATAACCATTTATAGATATTAAAAAATATTTTTTATTTAATTAATAGCATTACACTTAAATGGATATTAAATGGTACTATATTAAATATATAAGGGTAAAATTGACATATAACTAAATAAGTAAGGGTAAAATTGGTATTCAAAAGTTTCTTTTCAATCCACACTTTTAATATATTGTAGATGTGGATAGATGATGATGATCCAACAACACTGGATCTGACCTATTTAATTAATGAGCATTTATTCCTTGGCTACTCTTGATACTATTTATCAAGCTACAGTCGATTTGGAAAATGCAGTAAAGAAGGATTATAAAAGGTGGTTGTTTTGGCTTTAATATAATTTTTTTAATTATTTTTGAATTCAAACATTTAATTTATTTTTAATGAATATTTTACTTTTTCATATAAATTTAGTGATTTTCAATTTAGTTTTCTATTTCATGGCAGTGCCTGCATGTATTGAAAAAGAAGATAATTAACTTCTATGTAAATCAACTATATTTCTTTGTAAACCCATTTTTTCTTCTTTTTCCTGACTGCCTTCCCTTGTCAAATTCTTAGATTTTTCTGTGTCTTCAGATAAATTACTATGGATTATAGTTCTCTTTGAAATGTTATTTACCGCCTGTTTGATCCCCATTCTAATCTCATTTTTTTTTTTTGAAATCTCATGTTGTTACAGTATTCTTCTGATAAATTAATTCAGCAAGTTCAGATTTTGTCTGGCGAGAGAGCCGTTGAAAATCGACGGACTATTTTGCCCCCTGAAACAATTAGTAATTACATTCTTGTCATCCTCTTTTTTAAAGCCACCTAAGGTCAGTTCAAAGGTAGATTTGGCAAGAACAAATATCCAAGATTCATTCTTGCAGTATACGATTCAGCAAGTTCTGTATTTGTCAGTTGACAGTCCTTTTGTCTCCTTGGGGCCTGCAACTGTGGAGAAAAAATTTGGAAAAAATGAGAAAAAAATGGGGGCCAAACATGCGCTTAAAATATATACGAGCATTTATGATTGCTATCGGTCGCATTCTTTAGTAAATAACTCTTGGCAATTGGATGAATTCTCTCATGAGTTGTTTTCATTGAATGGATCCATATTTTCATTTTATGTCCGTGTCCGCAGCAGAGCCACAGGTTTGTGCATTTGGTGTTTCATCCTGAGAGTTAGCATTGACAAATCTTGAAACTTCAATCTACAATCCCTTCTTCAGTCTCAATACAATTGAAAGATCTTGCTTTTTCTAGGTTTTCTTTTTTAATATTAAATGGCAACATGAAAGTGCATAGCACATTTCAACATTCATTTCACATCTCCAGTCATTTAGCTTTATTTTTGCATCTTGCATTTGATTTTGGCCACTTCACTGGTTGCAAATATTGACGGAAACAGATGTCCTGGCCAATAAAATTTTCATTGTTAACCGTCTTCTTCTAATGGCTCTTGTGCTTGTTAAAATTTTAATCCAATATGTGGTGTTATTCTTTATTTCTAAAACGTACATCATTAGCACTACAATTTATTCAGATTTAGTTGTTCAATGATTTGCTGAGAAGATGAGCCAAATTTAGTTGTCTTTGGAGAATCGATTTTGTTATTACTATTTTGACTGACTTGTGGAACTATGTTTTCAGATTGGGCTTTACTACATGTATTCGGGCGTGTACTTTTACATTTCCGGTTACACGCCCCTCACATGGGGGGCGGGTCCCACGCATTTCTAGTCGTTTGACGTCAAAAATGCCCCTTAATCTTGACCATGTCCCCTCTGTAGATTTTCCTCCCCTCCTACCTAAGCCATTGGTCAGGTTGCCCCTGTCCCTGCCCATTCCAACATCACAGCAGATTGTGACCTTCTCGCCTTTAACATGTGACCCAATTGTTCATGTCCCGATTATTAAAGTTTGCTCCTCCAGCCAAGGGTATTTGGTCAGTGCAGGCCCTACGATTTCAACGACTATTCCATCTTTAGGCTTAGATCTTGTGAAGCCTCTGATTCCAGATGTAGAATCAGTAGTTGAAAAAGGTGCTAGGGAGACACTTCGCTTGCTCATCAATTGTTCCAACCAGCCTAATTCGCAGCTGCTTGATGCATTTCCCTCTGTGCTGACCAGCAGCGATCATAAGCAAAACATACTTGCTGTCAGCAATCGCATCACAGCTATGGGCATTGTTCCCTTCTTCTCTAATCCCAGAGCCAAATCCAATTTTATGAATTTGAAATTTTCTTTTTTATGAAATTTAGATCTGATTTTTTCCTTTATTTTTGGCTGAAATTTGTATTTCAGATGATTTTAGATGCGATTGAGACACCGAAGCAGATAACTGAAATTTGTATTTTTTGACTGAAATTTGTGAAGTGTTCGTACAAGCTCCCGTCGGCTCCGAAGCGAGCTGCCTCTGCACCGATTAAGAAGAAGACCGTTCCAGTCTCCAAGCCGAAAGCTACTTCTCTGAAAACCACAAAGGGGAAGAAGCTTGCCCCTTCAAAAGCTAACCCAAAGCTAGCAGCTAAGAAGACCTTGGCTAGGAGCGTGAAGCCGAAAAGTGTCAAGTCTCCCGTAAAGAAAGTAGCTGCTAAGAAGGGAAAGAAGTGACGGGGGCACTATTATTGGACACTGTTAGTTTTGATAGCTTTATTTGGAGAATTTGAAGGCATTGAAGGGGTAGCATTGGGCGATCAGCTGGCGGGTAGGGAAGTTAGTGGTTCCTGATTTTTGGTCTTGGGATTGGTGTTTGTAGGGTGAAGTGGAGAAGATGAAGTATATTTCTTTTATTTTAATTTTTTATATGAAAAATATAAAGTTACATATTTGACCCTTTAAAAATCAGTCAAAATTTTGGTCAATGTCAATTTTGGGGTCAACTAACGGTTTCTGTCAATTTGGACTCTGGGTGCGCATTTTTTGAAGGTTTGGTACCTCCGGTGCCACAAACTAAAGGTTTGGGCAAAGTCTGCTAATAAATGAAAGATTTGGTACCGAAATGCATTTTCACATTATAAATTAATGCCCTCAAGATGTCAAAGCTAATAAGCCTTTTCTTTCCTTGCATTCTCTAAATAAAGAATTGTCTTTGCTATGGCATTTTCTTCCAACTTTGCTTTTTCAGTGAACCGGTGTAAGCCTGAACTGGTGGTTCCGGCAAAGCCGACACCACGTGAAATAAAGAAACTCTCCGATATTGATGATCAAGAAGGCTTTCGGTTTCAAGTTCCGATAATGTTTTTCTATAAAAACAATCCTTCAATGAAAGGGATAAATCCAGCTGAAGTCATTCGAGAAGGACTTGCGAAAACGCTGGTATATTACTATCCCTTTGCTGGGAGGATTATGGAAGGAGACAACAGAAAACTTATGGTTGATTGCAATGGCGAAGGCGTGTTGTTCGTTGAGGCTGATGCATGTATCATGCTTGAGCAGCTTGGGGATAACATACTCCCTCCATGTCCGTTAATGGAAGAGTTTCTGCACGATGTACCTGGCACTGGAGGGATCATTGGCTGCCCTCTTTTGTTGATTCAAGTAAGTACCAATTCGTCTAAAAGTTGTTGATTTAATTCAAATAACAAACTTTTAGCTTTTTAATTCAAGAAATTTCAGCTTTTGGTTTCAAAAATTTTATGCTTCCAACTTTCAATCCTTCATTCCTTCTATTCTCGAAAGTAGAGACCACACATCTCGTGTAACTTTCATTAATTAAGAGTCTGTTTGGGAGTGATTTTTTCCCCAAAAAAATTGATTTTTGACCGTTATTTCACTATTCTAATCGTCATATTTGACTTCTTCCCTCACATGTCGACCCCACTTTTTTCCTAACGATCAAAAAATCAATTCTCAAAAATCACTTCCAAATAGGCTCTAAATCAAAAGTTAAATTCTAGTCTCGAAGGACTGGGGAAAGATCAAGAAAATATTTTTTTTTCTAATTTTTCTCTTTTTCATCTTCTTGATTCCAACCCCCAATAACATGTTTATATAGGACAAAAAGTTTAATCTAATTTTAAGCCTAAGTAGGCCATAGTTGGTTTAATTGAACAAGTGGTTCTTGAAATTTAATTACAATTATAATTGTTCAAAACTTTCAAAATAATAATTACAATTGAATTCAAAACTTTATAGAGCTATCATAGAAACATGTTCAGCCATATATTTTTCAAACTTCAATAATTAGATAATATTTATTTGATCCAACACCATCAAATCTAATTATTAATCTTCGTTTTTCTCACTAAAAGCAAAAAATTGCAATCTACAGTATTTTCCTCTAATTTACATGTTTCATCCCATTCAAGATCCAATAATTAGGTACCGACATAACTGACAATTTTATCCCTTCAATTATTTTTGCTAATTTAAATTTTATTTCTTCAATAATCTTTGTGAACAAGTCACAAATTTTGAAGTTTAGGTATGACTAAACATTGAGCTCAAATTTATAATTGTTCAAATAGAAAATACTTAAAATAGTCACTTAACCCATTTTTCAGAACGACTATTCTCGATATGAATTCGTATTTTGTACTTTGCTCATTCTTAAATTCTCAATTCATTAATTTATTTGATCAATCAAAGTGATATAGAGCTTGTTTGGTACAACTAAAAAGTGAATTAAAATCAATTTTTTGGCTATTATTTTACTATTACAGACGTTAGTTTTGAATTTTTTTTCACACATGTAAGAGTCACTTTATCTTTAACGGTCAAAAAATCAATTATCAAAATTCTCACCAAACAAGCACATAATTCATTGGTGAATTATAGAACCATTAAATTCACAAGTAGATAAATTTCTGTTTGGTAGGGGTTAAAATTAGATTTTTAATACATTTTAATAAAAGTTGATGAGATATGTGGTTAAAAAGTTGTATGTCCCATAAAATATATGGTTTAAATTTGTTTTTGATTTTGACATAAATTAATTTGCACCAAACAGGGCATACACAATCTTGTCTAGAATTTAGATAATATATCGGGTGCTCAGTGGAACTAATTTTTCACACGATCATGCAATAAAATTGAACTCGACATGTGGTCTATTAATTACGCTCCAAGTGCACTAGTATTATCATTAAATTATTTTTGTTATAAGAACAAATCACAACCCTGAATATTGAAATAATTAACACTACCGACTTCAAGTCAGAGGTATCAATCCTTGTACCCTTGGTTGTGAATAATTTTATTTATTGCAACAAAACTATACTATAAGGACATGGTATCCAACAGGCATGCGGGTTAAATTAATCCTAAATGCAGGTAACCAGATTCATCTGTGGTGGATTTGCTTTGGGAATTCGAATGAACCACACTATGGCGGATGGTTATGGGATGATGCAATTTCTAAGTTCTATTTCTGAATTAATGAAAGGTGCATCTGCACCTTCTATTTCACCTGTATGGCAAAGAGAACAATATTTAAATGCAAGATCTCCCGCAAGAATTACATGCATACACCATGAATATGAGCAAATACCACAATCCACAGACTTTATGGATTCGGACAAGCTATTTCGGACTGCCATTTTCTTTACTCCTAAGGTTATACAAGCACTTTATAATCATTTGTCCTTGTCGGGAAGTTCTCAAAGGTGCTCAAGATTTGATCTCATAATAGCGTGCTTATGGAAATGTCGTACGAATACACTGAATCCATCTGACCAAGATTGTATCTGTTAAGCACATAAGGCTGTTTTACCAAATCAATAGGGCTGAATTCTGTGGCAGAAGTACATTGTATCTGTTAAGCACATAAGGGGTTTTCTAGTTAAAAAGTACTAATTAGCAATTAATTAATTAATTTCCTGCTTAATGGAATCTTATAGTGTTGCGTCCACCTCGGTATTACCTTCTAGATTTCACCATTTTATAGTAAACAATGCAATGCAGTGTATGGTGGAGTTGCTTCGGCCACTTCAAATATTAGTTTTTGTACGAATTTCAAGAACAGTAAGGGAGAAGATGGAGTTGTGGTACCGATATGCTTGCCACCATTGGCTGTGGAAAAATTCAAATATGAGCTAGAAAAGATTACTTGTGAACCACTCTGCAGAATGTAATTTTCGTAAGTTTGAATTATATTATTCACCTATTTAAAAATAAAGAATCCTGTTAAGGTGAATGAGTTCAGCAATTTGGTCATGATTATTGTGTTGTAATTTTTATTTTTATTTTTATTTTTAATACAGTTCAGTGTTAGTGTTAAACACTTTATTGTATAAGAATTGTTTCTTTAACCATTTGTTTAATATCGGCTTGACAAATGATGTTATGGGCCTCGAGAATAGTATATTTGGTAGAAATTGTTTAAAACTCATTGTTTTGGAACTCATTTCAATCATATGTTCTTTCAATAATATAATTTTTTATTTTTATGTGGATCGTAACTTTTCCCTATTTTGGAATCATATATTCTCCAAAAATTTTACTTTTAACAAAACCTATTGTACAAATGGTGTGGAAGCATGTTTAAAATTCTTGTATTAAGAATTGAGATAAGAAAATCTAGGAATAATTTGCTTGTATTGATTCGATAATGAATGAATGAATAAAAATTGTACAATCGTCTATATTTATAGGTAAATTATCCCTATTCCTAATAGTACTAGAAGATTAAAATAAGGAAACTAGGAAGCTAATAAATGTCTAATCTAATTAAAACTCAATAAGAAACTATAATTCTAATAAATATAAAAGTCATATTACAAAAGAACTAAATAAAAAATAAACTTCTAAAAAATATAAAACATCTTTGTAGTAGGAATTGTAGTTGTACTACATCAGTCCCCTCTACTTGAAGGAAAACTCGTCCTCGAGTTTTGTGTTTGCAAGGAAAATTCGTCTGGAGGAAAGTATTCATAGATATTAGCAACATTAAAAGTGTTGGAAATGTTCATTTCTGTTGGAAGATCAACTTTATAACACAATTCGTTAAACGTTCAAGATTCGAGATGAGCTGCTAAAAGAAGGAAAGGCATTATCACCAATCTTTTGAAGAATGCGAAAAGGACTAATCGTCTTATCTATAAGCTTATTGTACATGCCAATAGGAAAACTATTTTTCCTGAGATGAACCATCACTAAATCACCTTCGTTAAATAGATTAAGTCGTCGATGTTGGTCTGCTGCAGCCTTATGACGAATATTAGCATTTTCCAAATTTTGTTTTACCTCGTGATGAATTTTTTAAATATGTTAAGCGAACTCCTCTGCATTAGAATTAACATTAGGAAATCAAATCAAATCTACTGTGTGCCTTGGAACATTAGTGTAAACGACTTCAAAAGGAGTCTTCTTAGTGGATCGATTGGGCATACTATTAAAAGCAAACTCAATTTGTGAAAGGCCAGTATCCCACTGTTTTGGTTTATCTCCACTAATTGCTCGAATTATATTGCCAAGAGTTTGATTAGCCACTTTTGTTTGACCATCTGTTTGGGGATGACTTGTGCTACAAAACTTCAAAGAAGTGTCAAATATTCTCCACAATGTCCTCCAAAAGTGACTTAGAAACTTTACATCTCTATCTGAAATTATAGAACGAGGGATACCATGTAGGCGAACGATCTCGCAAAAAAATAAATTAGCCACATAGGAAGCATCTGCAATTTTCTTACAAGGAATGAAGTAAGCCATTTTTGAAAACCGATCAATTACGACCAAAACAGAATCATCTCCCCGTTGAGTTCGTGGGAGACCAAGAACAAAATCCATTGTAAGATCTTCCCATATTGTATCTGGAATAGGCAAAGGGGTATAAAGGCCAATATTTTGAGCTTGTCCCCTTAGCTTTCTGACATATTGTGCAACGTTGAACAAAATGACCAATATCTCTTTTAAACTCGGGCCAGTAAAATCTCTCTTCAACCAAGTCGATTGTCTTATCTTGACCAACATGTCCACCTAAACCGCCTGCATGTAATTCTCGAATCAAGTGCTCACGTAAAGAAGAACAAGGAATACATAATTGTGTTCCCTTAAACAAGAATCCTTTTTGAAGAAGGTGAGGGGTATAAATTCCTTATTATTCATCGAGCCCATATATCGCCAAAATCCTCATAAATTGCATACAGTTCCTTTAAACAATCGAACCCAACGACTTCCGTAGTAATTGTAGCTAACAAAGATGCACGTCGACTTAATGCGTCTGCTACTTTATTTAGTTGGCCAAATATATGTTTTATAACAAAAGTGAATTTCTACAAAAAGGTAATCCATCGAGCGTACATTTGATTCATTATTTTTTGAGAATTAATAAACTCCAAAGCTTGATGATTCGTAAATAGCACAAATTCTCGTTGAACCAAGTAATGTTCCCAATGCTTTAATTCTCAAATAACAACATAAAATTCTAACTCGTAAGTAGTACACTTTTGTCGTGGTTCACTAACCTTTTCACTGAAAAATTCAACTGGACGGCCTTCCTTCTTGGGACAACACTACTTCAATGCCCATAACTGAAGCATCACACTCAACTTCAAATATTTTCTCAAAGCTAGGTAGTGTCAACACCGGTGTAGTGCATAACTTTTTTTATTGTCTCAAAATTGTCTTCTTGTGCTTTGCCCTCAACCCTCGAATGAAGCGGCTACAAAAAGTTGCTAATCCATGAAATCTCTGTACTTCTCGCACGATTTTATGAGCTGGCCATTCGCGTATTGCTTTCACCTTTGCCTCATCAACTTGAATACCATCTTTACCCACCATAAAACCAAGAAATAAAAGTTGGTCGGTCATAAAGCAGTACTTTTTAAGATTAATATACAATTTATTTTCCTAGAGGCTGAAAACACTTCTGTAAGATGTGATAAGTGCTCATCTTCATTTTTGTTGTAGATAAGAATGTCATTTAAATAAACCATCACAAATGGACGAAGAACTTGGTTTATAATCGCATGAATGTGCTTGGCGCATTCGATAACACAAATGGCATCACTAACCACTTGTAGAGACCATCTTTTGTTTTGAAAGCTGTTTTCCACTCATCTCTGGGTCGAATACGGATATGATGATAGCCACTCCTTAAATCAAGCTTGGTAAATATCACTGCACCTTCCAACTTGAGGAGCATATCATTAAGACACAGGATGGGAAAGTGATACTTGATTGTTATTTTATTAATAGCACGACTATCTATACACATTCACCAACTGCAATCTTTCTTTGGTATGAGTATAGCAGGAACTACACAAGGACTCATACTCTCGTGGATCAACTCCTTATCAAGTAATTCATTAACCTATCACTGCAACTCTTCGTGTTCTATTGGGCTCGTGCGATAATGTGGTAAGTTAGGCAAACTGGCTTCAGGTACCAAATCAATATGATGTTGAATATTTCACATAGAGGACAACTTCTTTGGGTGCGACAAAATCAGCAAGAACTTTCTGAACCTTGGTGGAAATCTGTATAGTTACTTCTGTTGGACCTTTAACAATCAATGCCAATACTGTGTGAGGCTCTTTTACTTGTTCAAAGAATTCTAGGCCTGAGATTTTGGTAAAAAGTGGTTTCTCTTCCTTGATGGCAGAGTTGGTTTCCATAGGTTGAGATTGTGGTACCAAAAAAGGCTGAGATTGTGGTACCAAAACGATCTTCTTATTTAACCACCAAAATATGAAAGTGTTATCCCGTCCCTTATAAGTGGCATCAATTTCATAGTGCCACGGATGACCCAATAAAATGTGACAAGCATCTATATCCACCACGTCGCATATGATTTCATCTTTGTAATATTTTTCAATTGACAAAGGAACTTTACAAATCTCTAAAACTTGAACTTCTGGGTCTTTTTTAATCCATGCAATCATGTATGGTGAAGGATGTTTCTCATTCTTCAGATTTAGAGCCTTTACCACTACCTTTGAAATGACATTCTCACTACCACCACTGTTAATAATCACATTGCATAAGATGACCCAATAAAATGTGACAAGCATCTATATCCACCACGTCGCATATGACTTCATCTTTGTAATATTTTTCAATTGACAAAGGAACTTTACAAATCTCTAAAACTTGAACTTCTGGGTCTTTTTTAATCCATGCAATCATGTATGGTGAAGGATGTCTCTCATTCTTCAGATTTAGAGCCTTTACCACTACCTTTGAAATGACATTCTCACTACCACCACTGTTAATAATCACATTGCATACCTTATTACGAGCTGTGCATTGAGTTCTGAAGATCTTGTGTTGTTGAGAGGTATCTAGCTTTTTTGGAGCAAGCAAAAGGCGTTGGATAATACACGCCAATTCTTCCCTTGTATTTGCATCTGCAACATCACTACCTTCATAATCATTGTCTTCAAAATTTTGCTCTTCCCCACTGTTGTCTTCTTCTGCAAAGTTAATGGATCGTCTGTTTGGGAAGCTATTTGAAAGATGACCTAGTTGATTGTACCGAAAGCACTTTCCCAGATTAGGACGTGACAAGGGTCATTATTAGCTCATAGCTGTGTGTGATTTCTACCTTGGGTGTTAGATCGAACAGGGACGAGAGTTCCTCTTTGATTCTATGTTGAATTTTGAATTAGAGTAGCATCTTGCTGTTATTATTGTTGTTGCTTGAGGTTATTGCACCCTTTGGAGTAGTATAAGATTCTTGAATTGGCCGTCGAAAATTTCCTTGAGTATGGGCTGCAGTTCTATTCATCTGATTTTCCACTTTCATTGCTAAACTGACTGCATCTTTCATGGTCCAAATCTCTTGGAGAGCCAGTCGATCTTGAATGATTAATGATAAATGTATTTTACACACTTATTCAAGACTTTAAAACGATAATATTTAGTTGTTACTCGGATGAATTATGGTTTAAATTATTGCATTTCGTGTTGAATAGATAGAATTTAATGACGGTACAAGAAATTGAAGGAAATAAGCAAAAGTTGATAAAATTGGAGAAAAGGGCTAAGTTGTAAAAGATCCAAAGTTCGGGGACTAAAGTGCAAATGCTCAAAATTTCTGTCGAACCTCAAGATGAAGATTCAAGAGTTCTCAAAGTCAATTGAATAAAGAAAGACATCAAAGGGATGAAATATAATCAAATTATGATCACACATCAAAGTCCAACCTAAAAAATGTATGAGTCTAAACCTAAAAAATTTATGTATCGTTTTTAGACTCATATTAAGATCCATTTTGACATTGTAAATGATAGAATTTGAAAATTGTATCTGAAGCAAATTGTAACGCTTTGAATTAGCTTTCCAACACATCTTGAATCGCCTCGATCGAATATTAGAAGAAAAAGTTATGATGAAAAGATTAAATACTATGCAGTGTGATCGAACTGACGACAGCGCTTGGGTGCTACTAGGCGCTATCCCGTAGTGCCCAAGTGTAATGTTTCTGATTTTTTTCTCGAAAGTCAGAGCTTAGGCGCTGCAATCATAGTGCCCAAGTGCTACCATCAACGCTTAGGGGCTACCGGTGATTTGTTCACGGCGCTTAAGCGCGGACTCCTAGAGCTTAGGCGCTGCGCCGGGATTGTCTAGGGCGCATTTTTGGGCCATTTGGAATTCCATAAAAACCTACTTTCTACATAAATGGAGGAGACACCTATAAATACATCTTTTTCACACTTTTGGAGGGGATTCCACACATTGAGAGGCAAGAAAGACATCTTAAGATAAAAGAGATCAAATTCAAGAGGAGAAGAACAATAATTCAAGGGTTTAAAACTAAGATTTGGAACAAGAAGAAGAATTTGGTGCATGATTCATCCACTCCTCTATATCTAAATTCAAAACCCGGTGATGGACTCCACTATTTTTATTTGTTATTTTTTCTCTATTATAAATAGCTAAATCTATTGTTAGGGCGAATGATGTAACCTACTTGGGACCATTTGCATAATTTA